TGCAGCATCTGAAGTGGCTTTTAATTTTTTGGATTGAGATTTGGCAGTAGAACCCACAAGTATCTAGGCACAAGAACCAACCAGTGGTGTTGGTGGGAAACAGTGGAAATGGAGAAGGTGATGGACGCAGCATCATAGTTCAAGTGCCCACCCCTTTGGCTGGTGAATACATGTCCGGAAGGGCAGGTCTTCCATTGCAATGCTCATTTCACTATTTTGTCTTGTTGACTTTTGACTTTTATCTCATGTATACATGTATACTGCGTCTCACTTACTTTAGCCATGCAGGGGAATTCAGTAGGGAAAGCTGTTTGGAAGAATTAACAGTAAAAAGAAGCCAGGCCATCAAAGAACATAGTGGCTTTATACCACCAAAGCTGACACCAGCTAGAACAGTGGTTCTCAACCTGTGGGTCGGGACCCCATTTGGGGTCGAAGGGCCATTTCACGGGGGTCGCCAAACAAGGCTGTCCGCCATTTTTTTCCCCTTTTCTTTGGCCACCCCCCTGGCACCCGGTGATATATAAGTGGTTGGGGATCACCACAACATGGGGAACTGTATTATGGGGTCGCGGCATTAGAAAGGTTGAGAACCACTGAGCTAGAACATAGAAAAACTCAAGTAAAGCAAAATCAGAAGATGTGGAGAGACCTGGCCCATAGAATCACCAAGAGTGATTGAATAACATCATCGCCGTCATCATCATCACCATCATATTGGATCCACCTATAACCATAAACAAACAAACAAACAATATCTTGTTCAGAATCTTGAAAGGAATGAAAGTTTTAAGGATGGAAGGAATTAAATTATTACAATCAAATAACAGACATACATTTGCTTTTTTGTTTTTGATCATACCCTCTGCTTGATCTAATGGTTCTGAGATGAATTAATTAATTCATCTCAATTCTGCAATTGGAGTCAGAAACTCTTTTTTTTTCACCTTCAGATACTTTTTAGAACAATATTGAATGGAAACTGCTCCAGTTCAGTTTGAATTAAAGATTTGAAATTCAGAAATGTCAAACAATTAATTCAAGCTGAGACTCAGTTTGGGGGAAAAAAGGTTCACTGCTAAGTTGTAATGAGAAAGGATAAAAACAGAAGTCACAGCTAGATAGATGGGTGGACAAAAACAGCAGGGGGAATTGAATTCTTAGGGGACATTAACTCTGTCAAGTTTCAGCTGGATGCTTTCAAGGGTTCACAATATTTTTTTTAAAAAAATATTCCATCTTATTTCTTTTAAAGCAGATACAGCATAGATGAGAAAAAGACAGCCCTAGGGCCGCCAAACTGTCCAGAAAAATGTCTTAATTTGCTAAACTTAACTCAACAGGTATCTGCTCCAACTTAAAAAATAAAAATAAATGAAAACCTGCTTAAGATGTACGCTCTCAACTCCATTTACTTTTTCTAGGATACAAGATTTGGCATCATACTGAAAAATGACCAAACCCTTACAGATAGGATAGGATTGCTTTGCTGCCTCTAATTGCTGGATTCTCTGACATTATGAAAGGACTAGCAAATTTGTGCCCTTCCCCCCTCCAACATTTAATCTCTTCCCAGCAAGATTTAGAAAAATGAAGACTGGTTTGTATTTAAGGAATGGTGTAATTTTGCTACTTCTGATCACTGGATTTGGATGCCAGAACAGTGGCATGCCATGACTGGTTATCCTTCTGCAAAAGGCACCCCTCCCTTTGCATCACTGAATCACTGGGAAAATCCAGTTGTGTCATAATTGTGGCTTGCAGGTCATATGTGCATTTGCAAAACTTGTTGCAAGAGGAGTCAATTAGAAATCCCTTGGCTGACATCCAGAGTGGAATAGCATGTATACACATGTCTAACGCTATTATTTTTATCATCTTCGCTATCTCTACAAGATATCTGGCTTGATATGAACATAATATGTATGTGTGAACACATCTACCACCTTGCTGTGATATTGAGGTGACCTGTTTATCGTTAGTTGAGGACATGTCCTCACAACAGAGCCTCCATCTTGGTGCCAATCTGCCACAGAGACATGATGTCAACCTTGTGAGATAGTCCAGATGAGAAGCACCCCCCAGGACTGCTAGCTCTGGGTTGTAAGATTACATTAACAGACTCTTGCAAGTCTAAAAGTACATCTCTTCCCCCCCCCCTTTTGCCTTCCTAATCCAAGAAACTAGGGAGGGTCCCTTCAGAGACTTTGCCACACCCATACTGCTGCTGCAGACTCAATTGCCTCTCATCTGAACATTGACTGATCTGTGGTTCCTCTTCCTCTCCCAAGGTCATTTCCACATGCCCAAACTGAATCAAGGTGATCCAACTGGAAAATGATATTTTCTCTTAGAACAGGGGTTCTCAACCTTGGCAACTTTAAGACTTGTGGACTTCAACTCCCAGAATTCCTCAGCCAGCAAAGCTGGCTGAGGAATTCTGGGAGTTGAAGTCCACAAGTCGTAAAGTTGCCAAGGTTGAAACCCCTGTACTTAGAACAAGGAATGTCACGCAGAGGAGGGATCTGAAGGAAGTCAGGGACCTGCAGCGCTCCAATTGTCCCTCTCCTATGCAGCCCTGAGCTTTTGCGGGCCTAGTGTTCTTCGGCTGCCAGAGAGAGACCAGAACTTCTCTGGCAAGTCAAATAAAACATTTGCAGGATTGGGAATGTTGACTTTGGGAAATATCTCCCACAAGGTTACCCTGCACAGCACCTGCTCTTCTTTTCGTCATGACGATTTTACCACTGCTTATCTTGCTTGCCATCCCTGCCTCGTTCCTCTCCTACCAGATGTTCCACCTTTCCCATTCTTTTTGTCTTTCCTGGACAGCAGCGCTGCCAAAGGGGACAGGGAAGGCAGAGAATCCGTTCTTGGCCAGGATGGGGCAGAGAGGCAAGCAGCAGAGGAGAATCTTCCTTCTGCTTTCCCTGCTCCTTATTCCCCCCAGCAGCAGCAGAAGGAATCCATTGCCCCTTTGCTGGCCTGATTTCAGAAATATGGCAAGAGGAACTCTGGGAAGGCAACTGTTTTGCAGTCAGCCTATTTTCCTCCCGTCCTCTTGCACGTCGCATCAGAATGTGTTGCTTCGGCAACCAAACCCATAATAGAGGACTTGGTCAGACTTTGGGGAAATTGCCACATGGCAAAAACCAAATTACAGGTAGTCCTCAACTTACAGCTCGATGCTTAGCAACCACTCAAACTTATGAGGGACCTCCCTGCATAACTTATCACCTGGGTTCAAAGTCCCAATGGTTTCCCCTCCCCCCACGGTCACAGGAGCGCACTAGGGGCACTTGGCAGCCAGGCCACATGTACAGCTGTTTGCACTATCCCGAGACCATTTGACTGGTTTATGGCAGTTTTGCCAAAAACTGGCATTTACTTCTGGGTTTTGGCAAGCAGGGCCATGGTGAACCATGGGTTCACTGAACAACATCACAAAAAGAGTCATAAAATCAGATTGGTTATTTATGACTGTGATGGCTAGGCTCCATTACCGTTGTAACTCAGGCCCACCTGTATTTAAAAGAACTTAAAGGTAACCACGCACCAAGACTGAACCAGCTCTCAGCTTTATATAAGTTTCTCTGCAAATGCTTATGTCATGACCTGTAGGAATTTTTAATAAGTTCAAACAGTCTAGGTCCAACTGCGTACTGTTCTAGCTGTTTTATTATATTTTCCTAACATCAGAAATACTGTGAGGTTTTGACATCTATATTTAGTTATCCAAATCGGTTTTAGGCTCACAAATGCATCTCCCAAGAGAACTTGCTTGAAATAAATGAGCACAAGGAGTTGTCCTATTAAAAATGGGGGCGGCCTTTGGATGGCTTTTTCAAGCTTTCTTTTATTTCCTGTTTTTCTTGCAGCTGACTTATTTGTTTTGGAATTCCTGAAACAACTTTCCAAGCATTTCTAAAGTATTTGGCTAAAAGAGTGGATATATTACCTAAAGTAGAAGACCTAACAACTGAAAATATTTGATAAATATCTTAATATTGTGAATTAGAACACCGTGGAAGAACTTGTTGGGTAAAATAAAGAAGATAGCCACTGTATGCATTTTGGTCATGGAAATAGATAGGGAACACAGCATATTGTCAGTCTTAGGCCTTGTGTGTGTCCAAGAAAAAAGTTCTAATGAAATGAAGCTTCTAGAATATTATGCTCATATAAAACAGTGGTAAATGGGAAAGTATTTGGCCACAGAGCTGCAATAAACATCTCTAAATATATTATGCTAGAGAGAAATATGAGGATTAATTAAAGCAAGAATATACAAATTCCATTTAGCCCTCCCTTTTTCCTTTTTTTTTTTTTTTGGCATGGACAACGGTTGAATTTAGGAAGAGATTTACTGTTCAAAAAGGTTGTAATCATGAAGATAATGTGTGCAGAGTGTTTGGCAATGGAAAGAATGGGCTTTCTAGCTGTATCACTAAAAGGTTGGAATGGAATTTGCAATTTGTGTTTGCAGAAAGTTTTCTGGTATTATTTTGTTGTTTTATGAAGGGAGATTTCCATGGATGATTGGGCAATGCAAAAGAGGCTGCAGTGCATTGGTGAAAATTGTCTCTTCTCTTCATTGCTGAAAACTCCATTAGATCGAGAATCCCTTTACAGTGGAAGGGTGCTATCATTTGGTGCAAAGACACTTTTCAATACATTGTGAAAACAAGCTACCAACTGTATACTAATAAAGCAAGAACTTGGACGATAGTCCGCATTATCTTTCCCCCCCTCGTATGCTGTAATAGCCCTCTCAATAGCAATGCATTTCAAGAAAAATGGGGAAAAAGAAACATACAGTATTCCTTCTGAAGAAATAATTTATCCACCCAATTTATTTAAAATAAGCCACAGGCTTGAAAAAGCAGAATATATAAGGAACCTATTTCTGTCCCTTCTGCCATGTACGTGCTTAATACAGCTACATTTTGAATTTCAGTTGTGAGAAGAATGAACTATTTTTTTTTTTGTCCTGTTTTCAGCTCTTAGATAATAAACCAAGAACAGAATGGGGAAACAGAACAGTAAATTGAGACCGGAAGTGCTGCAGGATCTCCGAGAGAACACCGAATTCACAGATCACGAGCTTCAAGAGTGGTACAAAGGCTTCCTCAAAGATTGCCCAACTGGCCATTTGACTGTTGATGAATTCAAAAAGATCTATGCTAATTTCTTCCCATACGGGGATGCCTCAAAATTTGCAGAACACGTGTTCCGCACTTTTGACACCAATGGCGATGGGACGATAGACTTCCGGGAATTTATAATTGCGCTAAGTGTTACCTCTCGAGGAAAGCTTGAGCAGAAGCTGAAATGGGCCTTTAGCATGTATGATCTTGATGGCAATGGTTACATTAGCCGTGCTGAAATGCTTGAAATAGTGCAGGTAAGTAAAAAAATGCTAAAGCACCTAACTAAATGTTAAGACAACCTAGTGCAATCAGCTATTTAACAATGCAGTATAGCAGCCATTTTCAACCTGGTGCACTTGAGATATATAGGACATGCTGACTGTAAATTATCTCCAGTAGCACCAATTTTGGGAAGACTGCTGTCCATAATCTTGACCTTGGAGTTTATTTCAGCTGAAGTACCTCTTAGAATTCTATAATGATGATGATGATGATGATGATGATGATGATGATGATGATGATGATGATGATGATGATGGAAGGGATCTTGGAATCAGGCAGGAAACCCTATACCATTTCAGATAAATGGCTGTCCAGTCTCTTCTTGGAGCATTCACTGCTTCTGGAGGCAAGTTGTTCCACTGGTTAATTGTTCTAACTGTCGGGAAGTTTCTCCTTAGTTCTAGGTTGCTTCTCTCCTTGGTTAGTTTCCACCCGTTGCTTCTTGTCCTGCCTTCAGGCGCTTTGGAAAATAGCTTGACTCCCTCTTCTTTGTGGCAGCCCCTGAGATATTGGAATACTGCTATCATGTCCCCCCTTGTCCTTCTCTTCATTAAACTAGACATACCCAATTCCAGCAACCGTTCCTTATATGTTTTAGCCTCCAGTCCCTTAATCATCTTTCTTGCTCTTCTCTGTACTCTTTCTAGAATCTCAGCATCTTTTTTACATTATTGTGGCCAAAACTGGATGCAAGATTCCAAGTGTGGCCTTACCATTCTAAGTGTGTCAGTACATGCATGTACAGATAGTCCTCAATTTACGACCACAATTGAGCCCAAAATTTCTGTTGCTAAACAAGACAGTTGTGAAGTGAATTTTGCCCCATATTATGGCCTTTCCTGCCCCAGTTATTAAGTGAATCACTGCAGGTGTTAAGCTAATAACATGGTTGTTAAGTGACACCGGCTTCCCCATTGATTTAACTTGTCAGAAGATCACAAAAAGCAATCAGACAACCCTAGGACACTGCAGCCCATCATAAATACATGCCAACTGCTAAGTCTCCAAATTTCGGTCACATGACCATGGGGATGCTGCAATGATTGTAAGTGTGAAAAGTGGTCATCAGTCACTTTTTCTGTCCTTTTGTAACTTCGGTCAGTAAACGAATGGTTGTAAGTCGAGGACTGAGTAAGTGAGATGCAGGCAACGGTATGTTGGCTTAGAAAGTAGTCATCAGATTACAGATCCTAATACTGGCTTTAGATGTGCATTATTCTGGTATTTATGCACCAACCTCTTAGCATTATCTGGAAATACTGCATATAACACATATATAACAAAGGCTGATAACTTAGTCTATTCTTTCATTTATTTATTAAAAAATTTAAATGAAAATTTTGATTGAATAAAGCCATGATTTGTGGCAGAGGTTAATCCCGGTGGGTCCATCTAGTCAAATTCATGCCATGTGGAAAATTGTGACTTGGATGTAAGAAATGATAAAGAGCAAAAAGTGAAGGAAAAACAGATACATCGTGGAAAGGAAAGGAAAGGACAAAGGAAAGGAAAGGAAAGGAAAGGAAAGGAAAGGAAAGGAAAGGAAAGGATGCAATAGAACTGAACTAAGTGACCTGATCTTATGGAATGATATTGATGAAAACCTGGAATGAAGTTGTAGATTTAATTGTGAACAAAAGAGCTAAAAGTATAAATTGGTGTCGTTGTAAGTGTACATGAAAGAAGAATTCATAGTTCAATGATAGGTCATGTTACAAGCCAGTGAAAGGTAATAATAGAAAAAGAAAGGATGAACTTTGGAGAAAACAGTGTAATATTCTGAATGAATGCAGTCCCGAGGGGCAAAAATTATTTTAGATGGCATGAAGGCAATGAGATGAGAGAAAATAGAAAAAGTGGTAGAGACATTTAGCAACCCAAGAATGAATGAGAATGGTGGAATCTATTTAAATACATAGTTGAAGCATAAACCTCTTCATGGATAATTGTAGCAAAGGAGGAAAATAGAAAAGGGCAATAGATTTGACTGCCTTTGGTGATATCAGGGGCAAGTAACCAGGAACAGGAATTAAGTTCAAGTTTATTTTATGCTACCTATGCACAAGAATCTGATTTATTAACGGTCACAGCAAATTGGTGTTAGATAACAATAATAATAATAGTAAAGTTGGAAGGGACCTTGGAGGTCATCTAGTCCAACCCCCTGCTCGGGCAGGAAACCCTACACCATTTCGGACACATGGCTGTCCAGTCTCTTCTTAAAAACTTCCAGTGTTGGAGCATTTACTGCTTCTGGAGGCAAGCTGTTCCACTGATTAATTGTTCTCACTGTCAGGAAGTTTCTCCTTAGTTCTAGGTTGCTTCTATCCTTGATTAGTTTCCACCCGTTGCTTCTTGTCCTGCCTTCAGGTGCTTTGGAAAATAGCTTAATTCCCTCTTCTTTATGGCAGCCCCTGAGATATTGGAATACTGCTATCATGTCCCCCTTGTCCTTCTCTTCGTTAAACTAGACATACCCAATTCTAGCAACCGTTCCTTATATGTTTTAGCCTCCAGTCCCCTAATCATCTTTGTTGCTCTTCTCTGTACTCTTTCTAGAGTCTCAACATCTTTTTTACATCGTGGTGACCAAAACTGGATGCAGTATTCCAAGTGTGGCCTTACCAAGGCATTAAAGAATGGTATTAATACTTCACGTGATCTTGATTCTATCCCTCTGTTAATGCAGCCTAGCACTGTGTTGGCCTTTTTGGCAGCTGCAGCACACTGCTGGCTCATATTTAAGTGATTGTCTACTAGGACTCCGAGGTCCCTCTCACAGTTACTACTAGTGAGCATGGTGCCACCTATGCTGTACTTGTGCATTTGGTTTTTCTTGCCTACATGTAGAACCTTGCTTTTTTCACCATTGAATTTCATTTTGTTAGTTAGTGCCCAGTGTTCAAGTCTGTCCAGATCCTTCTGTATCTGAAGCCTGTCTTCTGGAGTGTTGGCTATTCCTGCCAGCTTGGTGTCGTCTGCAAATTTGATGAGTTCCCCATCTATCCCTTCATCCAAGTCATTGAGGAAGATGTTGAAGAGTACTGGGCCCAGAACAGAGCCCTGGGGCACCCCACTACACACTTCCCTCCATATAGATGCAGTTCCATTGAGGACCACTCACTGAGTACGGCCGGTCAGCCAGCTACAGATCCATCTGGTGGTGGTTCTGTCTACCCCACATTTTTCTATCTTGTCAAGTAGTAGGTTGTGATCTACTTTATCAAATGCCTTACTGAAGTCCAAGTAAATTATGTCCACAGCATTCCTCTGATCCACTAATTTTGTCACTTGGTCAAAGAATGCAATAAGATTTGTCTGGCCTGATCTATTTTTGACAAACCCGTGTTGGCTTTTAGTAATGACTTTGTTTGCCTCTAGGTGTTCGTTGATTCGTTGTTTGATTATCTTTTCCAGGATCTTCCCAGGTATTGAGGTCAGGCTGATAGGTCTGTAATTTCCTGGATCCATTTTTTTTCCTTTTTTGAGGAGGGAACTACATCAGCTCTTTTCCAGTCCTCTGGTAGTTCCCCTGTGTTCCAGGATCTTTGAAAAATACAGTTCAGTGGCTCCGATATTACATCTGCCAGTTCCTTGAGAACTCTGATAAGAGTCAACGGAATTTATGGGGCAGGCTGGAATTTGGTCTCTTTTGGGAATGTAGCGACTCCAATCCAATGACATGTTTGATCCTGCTTTCTCTTACATTAGAATCAGAATTAGAATTAAGGGTTATGAGGAGTTCTGAATATTGTTATTGGTGTCAAGAATGGATCTTGGGAAAAACGGGGTGTGAAAGTGCAGATAAAATAACTATAGGGAAAGGAAGTATTGGTGGTTAGTCTCCCAACAGAATGTAATGGCAACTAAAGGACATGGAAGCTGCTTGAAAGACAGAAATGAATTTGTTTACAGAATACCAATGAAGACTGTGCATCTGTTCTCCTTAATAAATAAATACATCGCATATAAATCAATAGATGGAAAATATGGGCATATATTAGATACAAATCACAGCTCAGGAATTTTTTAAAAATGCAGAACTTGTTGAGTGTTTCTTTAGTACTTGTTTTGTATGTTTTAATATATTTCACTGTAATGGCCTCTCAGATTTTTTGTTTTTGGGGTTGTTTGTTTTTTAACTTTGGACTTCCAAGAAATATTTTAATCTGTTTTTCCTATCCCTACAAAGGCAATCTATAAAATGGTGTCTTCAGTCATGAAAATGCCAGAGGATGAATCAACTCCAGAGAAACGAACAGATAAAATCTTCAGACAGATGGATACCAATAATGATGGTAGGTTTTGTGAGTAAACTTTTGTGATGTGCTTACCAAAGATGGGGGTAACTGTAGCGGACATCTGTTTAAAACTGTTTAATCTAGAGTCAAGAAATCTTTACAAGGAGAAATTATTGCATTTTAAAAAAAAAGTCTGAGAGCCTTACCAGTCCATTAAAAAAAAAAAAATTCTACAACCAGACCACTAAAGATTTCCCTTGTTTATAAAGTTGTCTCTATGCACACTTATTTTCCTGAGATTAACTTTTTTTTCTCTTGCATTCTGTTTTCCTCTTCCACTGACAGTCTCTGCCAAGCAATGTAAAACTTTGCAGGCACGTGTTTTGCAATGGAAATAAATTATTGAAAAGTACTACATTTATTCTACTTTGTATGGCTCGTTCTAGCTCTAGGTTTCTTAACCTACAAATAGGAAAGATAAGTTGATTTGCACGAATTTTGTACGAGTCCATTAGAATTTCAAAGAGTAATTAAAATTGTAGATCTCTGTGTTACTTCAGACTGGCAGCCATTATCTCTGTCCCTCCGACTAGATTACTAAAAGGAAAGATAGCATTTTCCCCAGTAGGATCTTTATCATTGTGTTTCTCCTTCATCTACCGTATTTTGCAACCGAAAAACACGGTAGAGGTTGCCTTTGGAAGGAGTATCTTGCTTCAGAACCTTTGATCAGACAAGGTTAGGAGAGAAGAAAAAGGAGAGCTAAGGTTCTGTGAGGTGCGGAGGCTACTTAATGGAGCCATTACTGTTGAAATAGGTTCCTGCAGTTTTTTGGTCATGGGTCAAAGTCCAAATGTTTCTTCGGCGTTGCCTGCTAGCAGGACATGTGTCTATTTGCATGGAAATACTGTATTTTAAAAAGAAGTACCATACTATGACTAGTATCGTGGGAAGTTTTGGGGCACTAGTTCCTCAGCCAATGAGGATTCAAAAGATACCAATATCTCAAAATATTTGAAGCAACCTATTGCCATTGTTTTCCAATAACCTCTGAAACAAAAGTGAGGTTATGTCACTTTCAAGTCTCAACTTCAGTACTTAATCCAACTAATCTTAGTCCAACTAACAAATGATGAAAGATGCTGGGAGCAGGTTCCCTGCCTTAGTGTGCATTCATCTTATCTTCCCTGAGACTTTGACATGAGTACTTCATTACTACGATTAAATAAGTATTAGATACCTACAAAGATGGGTGGAGGGGCTAAACATTTACTCGGATGTCAAAATGGGAAACGAATTGTTGTTGTGGTTGTTGCAACAAAAATAACAGTAAAACAGGAGAGGCATTGGTGTTCTTGTATTCTTCAGAAGAGAGGTCTATCGGAGTCTCCAAATTCCACAACAATTTAATATATATTCATAGTACTATTTAGAGCACAGGGTGATAATTTGATCAGTCATCATTAAGTTTTGTTCAGATTAATCTGAGCTGAATCAAGGAAGATGCAGCCCATTCAAAGAGACCCCATTACCACCACCATAGGTTTCTGCTTGCATCTTACCTTCTTTCCAAGACTAGACATTGTCATCTTGGGGAGAAGAATACCTTAGCAGTTAGTGGGGGATTTTAGTTCAGACTGACATGGTCCATCTGTATCATAGCAACAATGGAGGCTGGCTTTTGATTCCCTGTCAGGAAATAGTGATACAAATGTCATTTACTGAGGATCTAGTCCTTATTGAAAACTTCTGCTAGCTGTTGCTCCCTTCCAAAGGTGAGAGATGATTGCCCAGGAAGCAGAAGAAAAAATATGTTGAGACTCTGGAAAGAGTGCAGAGAAGAGCAACAAAGATAATTAGGGGACCAGAGGCTAAAACTTATAAAGAACAGTTGCTGGAATTGGGTATGTTTAATAAAAAGAAGGACTGGGGGTGATGTGATAGCAGTGTTCCAGTATCTCAGGGGTTGCCACAAAGAAGAGGGAGTCAAGCTATTGTCCAAAGGCAGGACAAGATGCAACGGATGGAAACTGATCAAGGAGAGAAGCAACCTGGAACTAAGGAGAAATTTCCTGACAGAACAATTAATCAGTGGAACAATTTGCCTCCAAAAGTTGTGAATGATCCAACACTGGAAGTTTTTAAGAAAAGATCAGACAACCACTTGTCTGAAATAGTATAGGGTTTCCTGCCTGAGCAGGGGGTTGAACTAGAAACCTCCAAGGTCCCTTCCAACTCTGTTATTCTGTTCTATTATAGAAGTGTCAACTAGTAGGCGATTGATATTTGTGCTCTTTGGATGGTTTTGTGACCATGCATAACTTACAAGTACAATCTCTTTTGAGACAAGTATGCTGCATAAATGCATCTGGGATAAGCATTAAATAGCTTGCCTATTTCTAATTAACTCAGTTGTGAGAGAACTTAAATAAAAGGATAAATATGCACAAACTATTAAAGTCACCATGACTGCTGAAAATTATTTTCTAGTAATATGATAGAAAAATAGAAACCCAGAACATAGTACAGGTAGTCCTTAACTTATAACCAGTTGCTTATCTACCATTTGAAATTCTGATGGACCTGCCCTGGGGGGTTTACTTATGAACCATATATGAAGTTCCAGCGCTCCCCCCCCCCCGTCCTGGGATGGTGCTTTGGACACTTGGCAACCAAGCTGCATTTGCAGAGTCCTGTGGTCATGTGACCATGATTTATGACAGTTTTGCTTTCGGTTTTTGGCAAAATTGTGCCTCTAGCAAACCAGTGGTTTGCTTAACAACCATACTGTTTGCTTAATGAATCTCAGTGATTCATTTAATGATCATCACAAAACTATCTCAGTGATTTGCTTAATGATCACTACAAGAAAGTTTGTAAAATCTTTCAGACTGCTTTACGACCATCGCAACTATGATGGCCTCCAATAAGATTGTAACTTGAGAGCATCCTTCCGTTGTTACTCTTTCCGGCCTAGAGAATTTGTTCAAGCAGAGATGATCTCCTCAAAAAACTGTTTGTAAAAGCTTATTGTGCTTGTCTAAATTATCCTAGAAATATATCACATTCCTCTGCTCCTTTCTATTTGCCCATCTAAAGAATTAGGAAATAAGAATAATACTTGAGGGCAAAGTATTTCACAGAGAAGGTGGAGGCTTGTTACCTTTCGCCATTGTCTGCCTTTCCAATGGGAGCCAAGGTCTTTGAAACAGCAATTCAGAATCTTGATCAATAAACTCCTATGTCAAAGAAAATGCATTCTACATGTTGCCTGAGAATGAATGAAGATTGAAAGATGTTTTTCTTCCAGTGGCATTTCTTGTGTTTTTCGTAATACAGAAGTCTGCCCTGATTTAATAGCAATAGAAACCATTTGTCCCACACATTACCTAGTGTTTTATAAGGAACAATATGCTGAAACAGACCAGTCCACAAACCGACTCACTTAACTTAGTCAGATTGTAATGTCCACTTAATTTCAAATATTTTGGCATCATTAGTTCGTAATCCTTTAATCTAGCTCAGGGAGGAAATTGTATTTGGTTCAAAAATGTGCCTGCCTGAGATTCAGCCGCCTGCCATTTTTCAAGTCCGCCCTTCAGCAAAATGTCAACTAAAGGAAGCAACAGATCAGCACTGAGGTTATGCTTGTTTTCATGTCATTTTCATTCAGGGTTTTACGTTTTTCTTAAGAGCTTTAGAATTGTAACAGGATGTGAGAATTTTGTCTGGTTCTTATTCTGATTGTATTTCGGAAGTCTACATTATATCAGAGTTTTCTCAGCCAACCCTCCAAAAAACAGCATTTTGGTTCTTTGGAACGAGGGGGGGTATATCTTTTTGGCAGTCTATCAAATCTCATATACAGTTCTTTTTACACCAGCTGGAAATGAGCAGACGGCTCTTTATGTTCTCTATGTGGCAGATCAGATGTATAATTTTCTCTCTCTGTTCCTTTCAAGGTAAATTATCTCTCGAAGAGTTTATAAAAGGTGCCAAGAGTGATCCCTCAATTGTCCGGTTGTTACAGTGTGATCCAAGTAGTGCAAGTCAGTTTTAATGAAACTCTGGACAGTTTGCAAAGAAAATTACTGGCTTGTTCAAGCTTTGCTCGTAAATGGATGCCTTCAACCATTCCTCATTGGTTAGTGGATGAAACTTTGTGGCTGGATTTTCTCTGTATCCAAGTGGAAAAAAAAAAAAAGAGCCTCACTCTTCTCATCAGCTGCGATACGACTTCTCTTTCCAGTATCCTAATTCTCTTTTTCACTCCGCATTATTGTTAGGACTCCCTCTACACATAGACTGTAACCGAAGGGTATGTTTACATGCAAGTTAAAAGAGGGAGAATGGTATTCCTCTTGGTTAATCTAAATGGATGACTTTGGTAACTCCAAAAAGATACTATATGTAATTTTCATCTGCTGTGGCAGCAGCAAAAGACAGTTTATATCCCAGAAAATCACTATGGAATGTGGAATAAATTAAGCAGATTTTGTTTTTAAAAAATGGCATGTCTCCAGTTTCCTTCTCAATGAGGAAAATTGCTTGTGCTTGCAAACAGTTCTCACTGGGAAGAAAACTGGAATCATGCTGTTTTTAAAAAACAAAATAGATATACACATTTAAAACATACATATATATAAGTTGTGTGTATATATATGTGTGTATTTTATATATATATATATATATACACACACACACACACATTTTACTTTTTGAAGTAAAAATTAATATTTAGGTCATATTTAATATATGTAGACCTCATCTTTCATTTCTTTTAGTTGTCCATGATTATTATTTTTTTAAGAAAAGGATTATGATATTTATACATAGTCAAGTTGCCATTAAGGCACTGCATGATTAGCTGTTTGTGGGTATATCACTGTTTTAATTACTGGTTGCAACACTTTGTCCATTTTTACTGTGGATTGTTCCAGCATTTACTGTGTTTAATGAAGACTAAAGAGGAATCATTCTGCTTCCGTGTTTCACAGTGATGGGCCACTCACAATGGCTATCACACTTCAACAGGCTTTTGAGTGAGGTGAGGTAATTTGACAAGCATTTACTATGATCCTCCTACCAATTTGTGGCTGTCCATCTCTGTTAATAATCTTGTGCATTCCAGTGTTATTTAATATCTGCTAATGCCAAGAAATGCTGATTGAAATAAAGGTGAATTTTCTTGTTGATCTATGTTATCTTTTAATTATTGGATGCTTTGAATTTGCATGTAGCGTAATTTCTTTCTAGGAAACAATGAAAGGATATTTCCAGAGTCAGTTTAAAAAGAGCGTTCACACAAATTGCACATGAGTGAATATTACTCGAATTATTCTTCCGCAGATTTTAAATTTTAATTGAATATCAGCCTAGTTCAGCAATATTATTTTTATTCAGAAATATAGTTAGAAGTTTTGTTTTTGTTTTTTTGAAATAGATTTTTTTATATATAAAACAAGATTACATATCCTGACATATCTTTGTTATAGGAATTGGATTAAGGCAAAAGATAGTACTGGCAATGGAGCTCTGGACTATAGATGGACAGTAAAACCTGCCAAGTGAGAATGAGGATAGTAAAGCCAACTTTTGAAAATCCATATCTCATCCCTAAAAATGCCCTTCTTTTATTCAGCCTGAAAAAGGTTACGGCTGTGGTCCAAGGGTTACAATTCTTCTCTTAAAAATAAAGACAACGTTTTTATTGGGTGGAGTTCAACTACTGTTGACTAAATGGACACTTTGGTGTATTTTATGCTGGCAGTTTAACATGGAAGCGATTTGCCATTCCCTTCTTCCAGCTTGATTTTCCATGAGGCACGAAAGCCAGCTGGGTGACTTTGGGCCTGTCCCTCTCAGCTCAACCCACCTCACGGAGTTGTTATGGGGAAGATAGGAGGAGGGAGGACTATTAGGTATGTTCATCGCATTGTTATTTTTAAAAATAATAAAGTTGGATTTTTTTAAAAAAAAATCAAATTTTCAATGCAGCATAACATGCTGGTAGAAGAACAAGAATTGTTTCCATAGCGTTGCCAAGAAAACAAAATGGATGTATCGTGACATCAAGGTCAGCCCAGAGTGATGTAAAAATGCATGAGCTTTCTTCCAGGTAAACCTGTTTAAACTTGTGCCTGCATTAGGCCGCATCATCTGAAATGGGTTATTGGCTGTTGAAGTCATTTCCATGCTGCATTTCTATAAGCAAATTCAAACTTTGAGTTTTGTGTAGTGTATACAGCTTGCTGAAATTCCATCATCCTAACCTACAGTAGTTGAGTGGGATTCAGCCAAAGCTTGCATGGATGAAAGAGGCTTCATTCATCTGCAGAAGATTTAGATTGAGTAAACTTTTTCACGTGTTGAACCCTTCATTCCTTCAGTCATTCATTCAGTTCCATAGTTCTAAAATCTGTTCTGGAAAGCCTGAGAAGAAGAGTCTGGAAAGGGAAGGAAACTGGTGCTCCCCTTCCCGTAAAGAGGCATCTTTCTGCTGTCCGCCAAAAGCAGTATTTTCTGAAGAATTAGCACTTAGAATCACAGAAGTGTGTGCGTGTGTGTATATGCATGTACAGGCACATTTATGTAAGTCCTTGTGTTTTGCAGCCATACTTGAAAGCACGTCTTTGAGGTCAGCTGTGAGTTTATGAAACATGTAATTTAGATGTTATACTGGCCACTGACCTATAGGAGACACTGTGATACATATTAGATGCTGGGCCTTAAAGGGTTGAACATAGAGTTTTTAACATGCTAAATATTTCAAAATCTTCCAAAAAATTAAAATCAAGAATTACAAAATAAAGCTGGTTTCGAGACAGAGAGAGAGATGATAGATAGATAATTTGATTCCTAGAAAAATTATGGCATATTTTTAAAAGTGCAGAACTTTGCCTGAAATAATTAAGTAAAGGAACTTGATGAGTTGTGTAATGGTGGTTAAATATGCACGTGGCAAAGGGCAACCTCATCCTATTGTTCTGTGAACTACGGATTTTCATTCTAGTAGATCTGGATTGTGGAAATCCCTCTGCAGGGCTCTGAGCAATAAAAGCTTTGCCCATTTCCAGTCCCTGAGGGGAAAAAAAAAACCTTAAGTATATAATGTTTCAAATTGTAAAAGATGCAAGGATCTACAACACATATGAAAGATGTTTCACAACACCTAAAAATTATCTCTGGAAGAATTAAAGGACCTGTGTTTGCAAAGCACACATGGTTACTTTGTTATTTCTTGCTTACAGATGTGAAGACTCAACCATGGTAGGTCTTCCAGATAAATGGAAGTACAGCTGCCTATCTTTGGATTCCTTGCTATTCTGACTGGTGATGCTAGTCTGTGGAATAGAAAATAAATGAGAAGATGATTATTATTAAGTGTAAAGCAGACAAATATCCCCCTTATAGTGCAGGGTTTTTTTTCAATTCACAGATCAAACAAAAATTTCCAAAGGTACAGCACATCAATTAGCCATCAGTAAAATTGAATGAACAAGAAAAATCAATGAAAGATTTAATAATGTACTGGTACTGCTATCATTTTGAACTGGATCCAGAAAATGAAAGCCAGTTAAAATAGAAAAAAAAGATATTTTATGCTCTTTACAATCAATAGTAGTAAATTTTCTCGTGATATTATGAGAACCAATCTTAGATTCTCTGCATATTTCAAAGGCATCTTCAATTAGAGCACATTGGAGTAATTTAATACAGATGATGCTACTCAGAACACAATGATTTTCTCTGGGATATGGGAAAAGGTGTTGGTAAAAAGCCTTAAGTGCCACCTGAGCACCAAGGAGAAGACCACAGTGCTACCCATAACAGGCCATGTAACTATTCTAGAAATAAACCTATTCCCAAATATTTATATTGTCCAGGTTAAGAATCTGCTCATCTGAGTTTTAGATTCTAATCCACTGTCTTTGATAGAACAAAGACAGCTTAATAAAACCTGTCTATTGATTTCACTCAATACTGTATGCTTATATAAATGTTGAAAGCATAATGTGAATTATTTCTTCCTCTCCCGCTCCCTCTCCCACTCTCATTCACAAAATACTACACATAATATGAAGATCACAAACTGAAGCAGTAGTCTCCCAATAACATTTTCAGAAATCTAGCCTTCAGGTTCAGCAAGCCCCACCTCAAAACAGTACCACCACAACCCTCATGGTGGCCATATAATTCAGAGATTATGGGTCATCACATCAAAAAATGCTAAGAGATCCAGATCGTGTAGAAAGACTGTTTCCACCTTGTCAAATACCAATAACAGTTCAGGATTAGATTAAAATAACCAAAGCTGAACCCAAACTCAATCTAGGTGATCCTTCAAACTGAGTTTTGTGATGCACTTTAATACCTTGTCAAAATAAGTGATAAACTGGAAGTTTAGATAGAGATATTTTTGAATCTGATGTAAAGACTTCCCCAACTCTTTGGTGAATTTGGATGCAAACTTCTTCAGACCTGTTGGATGTATGGCCTTGATTTGGGCTTTTCCAATATAATAGGTATCTGAACTTGGAAAAGAAGCATTGGGAGTTAAAGAATAGAATTTTATTTCTCTTCCCGAGGTTGGGATCTGGTTTATACCTTCAAAGGAGGAAATCTGATGCACACTAATCTCCCTTTGAGTCTACCAGATGTCACAGGATTGTAGCCACCCAAGCATTTTCAGAATTTATCTCTTTTGTCACTTGGAAAATGAAAAGGTTTCTGCTGTGAAATGTCACATCACTACAGATTCCAAAGTTAGAGCCTTCAGGTCTGGAATGCAAAAATCTAGATGGCAGTAAAGAGGTAGAAGACAAACTATTTGCGGCCATCTAATGGTCATCTGGATTCTTGCACCTTGGATCTGATACCCTTCTAAAGCTGTTCATATATTTAAAATAGTATGTTATCATATCCTGTATTGTCATAGGTCAAGACTGTGTGTCTATGCAGTCATTAGGTATCAAATCAGATGGAATAGCACCTAACTGGTGTGCTGCCACCCTGCATATTTAAAAAAACTGAATAAAAAATGAATATTGCCTACTAATTGTTTTGAGACTGGAACTAAGCTAAAAGTTTGACAGGTAAAATAATTCCCTCATGCTATGTATTGATAGGGATGGCTTAGCCAAGAAACATAAATAAATCCTCAACCAAATACATTTTCATGGAAAGCTAATAAGTGCATGGAAAATTAATCTGCTCAGCTTTAAGATCTCAACCAAAGCCATGATCACTACATCTCAATAGCCCTTTAAGACTTTGTGTCTACCCTTTCCACCAGCTCCTCTTTTCTGTTAAATTCCCTGAACATTGTGGATTATTAAATTCTTATCTGTCTATTAAGAATGTATTTGGTGAAGAAAAAAATGAAGACAGAAAGTCAGTGGATTGGAATCCTTTTCTTCATGCCTTACATTTTTCCCAGCTATCAAACTATGTAGGCACTATTTTTGCAAAACGCTTCAGTAATGGAAGACGTCAGTGTATACATTACAGCCAAGCACACCACTGCACTCTTGTACACTCATAATCAGTGATTATGATATGAAGAACTTGCATATGTATGAGCCGTCCTAAAAAACACACCAGAAAAAAAAATCCTGCCTTGCAGTTGAGGTGAGTAACACATTCAGCTGCAAACCATCAAGGGCGAGAGAACCTACAGTCATAGCTAGATTGGTCATCCTGATGCAGACTAGTCCAGAAGGCCCAGTGTTTGGAAACAACCAAACTTCCAATGTACTTCAAATTGTTTGTCGAAAGTGAGGGCTTCCTATAAATGTAAAACGTTAGCAGATTGTATTTCTAAATCATCCAACGGTAATATTCTGGATAAACAATGAGGTTATTTAAAACATTAAAGCCATCATCAATACGTATGTTAGAGCAGCAAATGATGTGATTCAATAATTATTTCCAATAAAAAGGGCAGTATCATTAAAATTGACAAAACATCCTTTGAAATAGGGTGTCCATGGGGTAACTCAAGGCCACAAACTTGTTCTCCCTTACTTAATGTGTCCACACCAACATGAATTCATTCAGGTCAATTTGTTGGGCATAATAAGATGTATTTTGTGGCTAAGACAGACATCCGATCTCAGTTATGAAAAACTCTAGAACAGTGGTTCTCAACCTTTTTATATGGCAACCCTGGTTATAAGGATGCGCCGCGCATGCG